GTTTGCTAGAAAATACCTTTTCCTCTCTCAGCATCACCTTTCATTCCCCCTACTCCCAGATTATGTTAAAATATTTACTGAGGTTAGTCTTTAAACCCACAGCAGCTAAACCACTTTAGCGTGGGGTGAATTTATAACAGGTTTCTTATAATTTGTGCCCAGGGACATCATTATGCAAGTGCCATGCATAACAGTCAGGCTAAATGGTGAATCTAAAAGGAAGAGAAAAAAAATCACTCATGGACATGCCTGGGAATCAACACAGTCGTTTTCTCTGAAGCAATTCAGTCATATTGAGAAGATATATGCTCAGACCATTTTAAAACTTTTTTATTATTTACTCAATAGGCTGTAACACCTCTGAAACTTATTGCAGTGTTTATTCAATAGACCAGCTCTGTATTTTTGGTCTATCATGTCAAAATGCATTTAAGCAATTATGAAAGGGCACATTTTACTCGGTGTCCCTTAGTGGCTCCTCTGGAGCCTGTTATGTTGTACAGCACTTTGTAGCAGGTTGCAATTCCAACATTAATGCAGGCATACTCATGGTGTGCCCTTTCAGGAAGATCTAAGGGCTGGGCTGACTCCTTTCTAACCACTGCATGGACAGGGAGATTGTTCCAAGCAGCATTATGTTATGGCAAGGCTCTGTCTCCTTAGAATGAGACTTGCCTTCTGGATGTCAGCAGGCCGGTGGGATTTAATGGTACACTCCAACTTTCACTGCAGGATTGTATGGTTAAACTAATATGAAAACACCCAAAATTGCCTCCAATTCTCTGGTAACCCCTTGCTTGCTTGAAAAATCTTGTTTTTCTGGTGTGTCTGTGAATATCTCCTTGACATTATCGCAAGCTCACAGATTTAGTGTTTTTAAAATAACACACACTTGTCTCTATCTTGCATTGATTCTTGTCAGTGTTTCCCTGCAGAGGAGATCTGTATGTTTGTGGTGATCCAAAAAGGAAGGTGAAGCAGCAAGCTGGAGTGTCCTGGGAAAGCCTGAAGTGCAAGGCTTTACTTCTCAAACCAGAAACATCTCTCCAGGCTGCATGAGGAAGGAGCGCTTCTGTAAACAGCAGTCTCTCAAGACAACAAGTGTTTTTACCTATTCCTGGCTTTCCCACAGCATGAAAACCTCACTCCTGAGTTATCTCCTTCAGACCCTTTGACAGGACAAGGACTCTCTGTTACCTATGAAAACACCTCCACAGTTAAAACATGGTCCAGAATCTCAGCTACTGCATGTTTGGTTTAGGACTGGAAATATTTAATATTATCTTCTCTGTATTCCCTTACTTTTGTGAAACAAATTTGATTAAGGGTTGGATAGTTTTTATTTTTTACTTTTTATTGGTTTAGTTCCTTCAAAGCTGCTGGCGTTGCTGAGGCATTAACACCAGTAAGAGGGGAGTTTGCATATGCAAATTTTACTCCCTTAATTAAAAGCAGGAGCACTTGATTACACTGCTGAGCCCCAGAGCTGCATCTATGTAAACAAAGGTTACATGCTCAGAAAAGAAAATTGAGCCTCAAGTCACTGTTTTGTGATAGACTTCTGTTAGTTTTTAGTTAACATGAAGCCCAGTGCCAAATTTAATTCCTTATTCCCAGACTGAAGTGCATGCGCTTCCAGAAGCACGCTTTCTGGTTATTTTCTTTGGGTTTGGGATTGTTTTTCTTCTCATTTTGTATTTGCTCTTCTGACTTGGAATGCCCTTGTTTCCTGGCTGGTAGCAATAAAGCAATTAAGAGCAGATGTAGCTTGAAGAATGTGATGCAGCATCTAGAAAAAGTGATTAACAGGAAAAATAAGCCACAGGCTTTAATTTGTTTCTTAATTGTCATCCAGGTGTGGCCTTAGTCCTCCAAAATTGTGAGGATGCTGGGCTTCTGCTCACTCCAGGAGTCATGAGGACTGACTGCTGGACCTGGGAATAATTTGGTGAGGCTTTGTCTCTTGTGGTAACCACCTTTCCCAAAACTGCCTCTTCCTGTCTTTGCACAGTCCTCCTTACCCCCTCAGTTATCCTGAAATGATTGTCCTTGGTAAGTTGGGTCATACAAATCACCTGGCCACAAGAAAAACAAAAGGACCAGCAGAGCACCGCAGTGCTGTGTGCTGTCTCTAAAGCAGCTGATTTCAATTATCTAATTCTTTGTGCAGTTCCAGAAAGAGTGCTGGAATGACTTGCAGTCCTGGGCTGAAGCAGGGGAAGAAGGGCTGTGGAGAGATGTGCTGAGGAGCATGAATGTCTTAGACTGGCTGTGCCAATGCCATGAGCATGTCTTGTAGACAGACCCTCTCTGACAAAGACAGTAGTGTTAAATTTTATGTTTTCTAAGCAGAAAACAGTGTAGCAATGCAGGAGATTCCTTCTCCTTACATGGGTAAGTCTTACTGAGCTGACAAGTCCCTTTTTGATCAATCACTTATCTTCCAGTCTTAACAAATAAGAGCAATCCTGAAACAGATATGGGGATGAAAAAGACACCGGATACTTTACACTGTTGTAGTTCTGACAGACCCACACTACACTGTGGGTGCTCCTTTTAAAAGTCATTTGTGTGGTGCCACGTAGGGCTGATACTCTCTACCCTTTCATGCTGCTACATGGGCTTTGCAAGGCAAAGGTGGCTCTGCATGCTGCCAGCCAACACATAATGGGACCTGTTTTAGGTAAGCAGCTCTGAGATTTTCTGAGGTTATGGTGTGGTGTGCCCTGTTATTGCTTTTTCAAAAGAAGATTGCAGGGAATTATATTTTGACTGTGATCTTTAATACTTTGGGGTCTTGTCTGCTCACTGTTTATCTATGGGCTTTTGCGGATGGGAAAGATATGTAGGAAATTTCAGTATCTGCACAAATGATGCCCCAGAAATAGCAGAATGCAGCCCATGTGTGACAGTTTCAGTTTGCAAATTCCACTAACTCCTTTCACTGAAGGGTACAATACATGCCCCCTCTCCACACACAGCCTCTAATTAATTAGAAACAACTAACTACAAAAGAAAATTTGTAAATAAATTGCCGCAAACTTCACAGGTCCAGTGAAAGCACAGCTGGCAGGACCCAAGTTCAAGGCAGATCACAACTGCACAAGTACTGATCAGAGTACAGCCTTGGGTGAGATTTATTGTCATTAAGAAAGACAATTTTGATCAAACCCCATTGAATCAAGGCATGTATTCACCGACTCCACATACTGACCCCAGCATAACCACTGAGATTGCTGCTCTCTGATCTGTGACATAGAGACTTCACATTGCCTGGAAAATGAATCTCTGCATTATGCCTTAATTTGGCATGGTTCTTAGAACACAGCATGAAACACACTGGATTATTAGCAGAAGGCAATGCATTTCCTGACCATGAGCTAGAACCCAAACACCAAGGGCAAGTTCCTGCTGTCCAGGTAAAGTGCATTATTTTGTCAGCTCCTGCATACATCCCCTTCCCATTGATGGCAGTTTCAGCCACACACATGTGGATCTTCCATTAACACTAATGGGAAATGCCTGCACATAGATTTCAGGCTAACACTGGTAGGAATTACATATACCTGCAACACTCATTAGCATTAATGAGGGTTCTCCTGTGGCTATCTAATGATCATTAATGGGAATTACACACATGTGTGTTTCTCATTAGCATTAGTGGCACGTGCATTTCTCATTAATATTGATGGGAAATGAAGGAAGCCATATCTCCCATTAATATTAGGAGGGAAGTTGCACTCACTGCAAGGAAAAAGCTATTCCTGACACATGCTCAATGAGGAAGTTTGAGCTGTTGTTAATTCTGTTCCAAAACAACTTCAGTTTGTGCTGCCTTTGAGTGAATTATCCAAGTCTCCGTGACCTTGGCCACCAGGCATAAGTTTTGTTCCCACATGAATGAAGCAGTTCTGCAAAAGTCCAAACATTCCTTTCTTTGGAACCAGACAGCATGTCATCTCTTGTTTTTTAATCAAATGTATTTCTGAATTGCTGCTATTTCAAAGACAAGTCTGTATATGCTTTTCACAGCATAGGGTGGCACACTCCAGCTGCTAAGTTGTTGCCATAGGCACACCAAATTTATTATAAGTTCTTGTCATCATAACTCCATTTTACATCATGCACTAATGCAGTATTGTGTTAAACTCTGACATGGTTCCTGATGAATGTAGTAGAGATTAAAGGCCACAGCCTCCCCTCAGAGTAAAAACTGTATGGATTTACTACAGGACGGAGCTTTTTATCCTTCCAGTTACAAAGGCATTAAACTTCAGTAGCCCTTTCAAAAATGGCTACTCACGCCTGACAAGTGGTTTCCATTGGCTTTTCTGTAGGACTGTAGTTTGAGTCTCCTTTAGAACAAGTGCCAGGACTGTTGGCTACTGTCAGTGTGAGCTCAGGGCTCCACATGGTGGGGCAGCCAAGGGCTTTGCTTCTGGGGAGGATTTCCCCCTCTCTCTTCCAAGGGCCAGAACTGCTGGTGTGGGTGCTGAAGAGCAAGGCTGTCCACGTGGTGTGAGCAGTGCTGACCAGACAGAGCTGAGGAAGAATGCTGATCTCCCTATCCATTATTTATATGGAGATACGGGAAGGTGATCACATCAAGGCCTGATCTGGGAATCAAGTGATTTGCTATCAGTTCTCACCTTCATATCTTACAATTGCCATATTTCTAAGACAAATTCTACTTTTTCTATTCTGTGGTATACCCATCAGCTTGTACACAGGAATTATAACCTGAAACAGGATCTCTAGATGCCACTGTAAGCACTTAGCTACAGTTAATACAAACAAAAACAACCCCATCAGATATAAGCTATTTAAAACAGAGAGCAATATATTTAGTTTTAAAAGTGCCCTTTGGTAAGATAGTCTTATTGCTTTTCTCATTACTGTGCAGAATTAGAATAATCATTGCCCATGCAAATTAGTTACAAGAAAGAATATTTGCAAATAGCAGATGAAAATTAAAGGATTATATTTGGCAAACACAACTGCTAGATCAGATTCCCCAAAGCTGGGGGAGGTACAGATCGCACCTTCCATGCTGCACAGGAATACCTCAGTGCAGGGAATGGCAGGCTTTTCCACTGAAGCTGTTGGGCCATTCCAGGAGCCTTCCGGAGAGAGGCAGCAGGAGTGTAGGAGTTTCCAGCTCTCAAAAGAGTTGCCGACAAAGTGCCCAATGTGAGCCTCTCCCCTGCCCTAGCTCTGCCCTTGGCAGCAGGTGTTGCACACCCCGTTATCACACACTGGCTCTGCGTCCGTACAGGCACGTGGGAGCTGTTGCTTTCTTTACAAGCAGATGTTTCATTGCTGGGCTCCTTGACCTCGGCCCCTATATAGGCCCTGTATGTAAACAACTTCAATTCACATGAAAATCAACAACCAGTTCAGAGAGAGCTGGCATAATGCATAAAACTGTTTACAAGCCCAGACACTGAGACTCAGATATTGCTTACATAAGGTGCACACACTTATCCGCACTCATATACACCCATCCTGGAAAGTATAATGCAGGAAAGGTGTTTCTAGCATTAATTTAGTCTAGGGTGACAGATGTTAGAAGGCATCAAGGAAAATCACAATAATAGTATTCTGTTGGGCTACAGCAGCATTAAAGATTCTAATCTGTAACTACAGCTTTCACTTATAATTCAGTCTTTAGCTGCTAAACAAACTAAATAATTTATCAAGTACAATATGTTCTAACTCTGCAGCTTGCAAAAACTGCAGCCATACCTTTATTTCAAGGAGTCACCAAATGGTGGAAATGTCAAGCTCTTCCTTAAAGTGCATCTTCTTCAATTCCCTTGGTAGATAGCACTGATTTTTTTTTTTTTTTCCTGAAGATGTTTTATTGTTTTCCTACTTTTCATCAGGGTGGGGTTGCCATGGCAATAAAGTAGGATGTCTTGCTGGATTTCACCTTTACTGTCTTGCTTCATATGGTTCTCTCTCCTCAGAGCAAACATGGTGGACGCAATGCACATACAGATGTCTGATTTCAGATTTCTTTCTCGAGTGTGCTTGGCAGCTGCTCTCCTGAGACAGGAAAAGCAGCACTTTGCAAGCAGCACTTCACTTTACATTCATCTTCCCACTCTCTAGTGGCCACCATCGTGTCTCCCTTGCTTTGTGAGCTCTTTTTTAGGATGGACAAAGCCTTTCATGAAAGACTTGCTTCCAGTGTAAACAAAAATTTTGCTTAAGCATTTCAATTAACCAAATGACCACATCAATTCTCCTCTCAAAGCTAGTTGTGGTAAAGTGGCAAAATATGCTGCAATAGATATAAACACCCATTACATATCCCAGCAATCTCCTCAGAGTTCCCCCTGGATTTAAAAGGCTGAGCTTAGGTTGTGATGCTATGCCAGTGAACTGGGTCTCACCTTTCCCTGTGTCAGTGTTTACTGACATACCAGTTTTCCCATTTAGATTTGTCTCAGGAAGAAAAACTTCAAAAATTAAATCACTCACTGGGTTGAAGAGTTTCCGTTTTATATATCTTTCCTGCATCCTTCAAAAATAGATTATAAGTCTGTTATCAACATCTGAATTTCACAGTGGTAGCATCTCAAAAACCCAGGTGAAAAGGATGGTAAATGCTGACTTAAGTCACAGTCCTTCAGTGAACATTGCAGATCAGCTCTTCTCTCCTTGTGGAGTACCAGCAGTGGAAATAGCTGAAATTTCAGGATACACTAATGAATAATGCATCCCATGCCACAAAATTGTCACTAGTATCACAAGTATTTAAAACTCCGTATCCAGTAGCTATATATCTCAAAAGTATTTTTAAAATACATGGCATTTTTAATATGATGGGATTTTTTCCCTTTGGTGTTTGGATTCCTCTTTGCAATTCTACCAAAGTAAAACAGGGGGGATATACTACATGAACTCCTGTGGATTAGCCATGATGCCTTTCTTTGTCACTTTCCAAAACTCTGCTTGTAATGGCCAAGCTGAGAAAATGTTTCCCAATTTCCAGGTCAAGGGTTTATGCTTTGCTTTCCTTCTTTCTGCCTTACTCACTAGAGTAGCATTAAGTTTCTCTTGGATTTTGGTAACACTGCCTTGGCAGAACATCAGTGTCATTTTAAAGTATCATTATAATATTTGTTCTTCTGACTCCTTTGGTCTCTGCTTGCCAGTCCCAATTTTTTTCTTGGAAAGATACTATTAGCATAATTATTATTCTAACATTATAACACTCCAGAGACATGGCCATTGTCTCCCTTTTCCATTTAGTTAATGCCATAGGAAACACAATCTGGGTAGAAGACAAAAAATAACACATGTATATCAAGACAGATAAGAGTACTTTGAGGCTACATGACTGTGCATGCTAAGCAGCAGTGACTCTAAGGAGCAGCACTGTGACAGTCTCTTACTTTTGGTGCATTATAACCAAAGAGATTGAAGAGGAACCTCCAGTAGCTGTTCCTTCCGAAGCTCTTTCATAGGATGGAGTACAACAAAGAGCATGGAGTTGCTTCTCTGAATGTCTTGTGGTTGGTGTGAGATGTTGGTTGTCAGATGAATGGATGGTAGGAATTGATTTCTTAGCAAAGTCACTCAGAAGATTGAAGAAAATCTTCTGTGATGTGAGAAGGTTTAGTGCACGTTATTTTGCTGACCTGGAACATCTCTTTCCAACCTGGTAGTAGTGGCCTGCTAATAACAGGCTCACTGCTGCTACCATGACGAGGACAATCTGTGTTTTAGAAGACAGACTATTTCTACTATTTCTTGCCCAGACTAACACTTCTGTGCATGACATACCACAGCTACAGAGATAATCGTGGCTGTAGAGCAAGCTGTGCCTTGGCTGCCTCTCTCCAGTTATTTTTCAGAAGCCACACTTCCTGCTACTTTGGACAGGACCAGGCCATCTTGTGCCTTTTAAACCGAACCTCAGCCCAGTTTATCAATGCTTGTGACACAATTTCAGCTGGCAACAGTAGCCCTTTCCTCAGGCCAGTTGTGACAGTGTCCGATTTTAGTGACCTAAAAGCAGCTTCTGCACAAAAAAAACCCCTCCAGTGTTCATTCTCATGCCTGAAATGTGTGGCATGTGTAGGTCCCTTGTCCTGGAAAGCTGTGCTACATTTCCTGACTTTCTGCTATTTTAGGAATGCACCAAGCCCCAGGAAATATGTCAAAAGAAAAAAATCAGGATTTTTAAAATATATTTACATTGCTTAGCATTTTTATCAGGAAGATTTCAAAGAATTTTATGTGAATATTACTATCATCCCCAGATTATAGCTGATAGGACTTGGATAATGTGTAGATCAGCTATTTCCTCAAATCCATGGGAGAATTAAGTGATGAAATTAGGAATGGGATCCCCCATCTTGGTTTTCTATTCCGTGTTGTAACTATCACATATTTCTATGTCATGTATGGTTCCGGTATTTACAATTTAATTCAGCTGCACTCCCTGCCATTTAATTCAGTAACAATATGTGCATTTGCAGGAGTGGGGTGGGAGGGCCTATTTTTTGGGCAGGCCGTGTGTGCTGTTTATAGTTTAAAAAGCATGTAGTGTGAAAATCTGATGGCTCTTGAAAATATCTTCCTAGACATTTTGCTGCCAAGAAAACTGATAATTAACAAAAGTAATTTTTGTGACAGAAACAAAAATGCTGACCATATGCTTTGCTTATAGTCCTATACCATTTCTCAGGAAGAAAAATAGATCTTCAACCAGCATTGAGAATCATTAGAACTGAAAATACAGTTCATTACTTACCATGTTTACTTTGAATAAAAACAGAATTCAGTTTTTATGTTCAACTGCATTATTAGAAAGATCTAAACAGATGATTAACAGGTTTTTCTAGGCCCAAGGACACCTGGCTGAGTTGAAGTGCTGAAGCATGTTATGGTGTGGTATTACCTGTGACAGCATAGGAGCTCTATCCATAGTTGATTCAAACAATGTAAAAAAATTAGATAAGTGCCTCAGATTTTATTATTCTCGAGGGAAAAGTCAACTGAGGATGATTCCTAACTGCTGCTGAGAGAAAAAAAAATGCACAGGCTTCATTGCTGTAGAATCAAGCCAATGCAATGCAGCAATGCAACTGCAATAAGGATGGAGTACACAGAGGTGTTTGATATGTATGCATGTGAACACATTTATGAAAAGTATTTTATTGTAGCACTTCAAAAATCTTGCAGGCCAGTGAAATGCCTTAGCTTTTCCATATGTAATAATTGGGTAATAGCAATGCTAATGTATTATTGGCAGATATAATAATTTCTCTGTGTTAGGATGGTAAAGTTATTCAGAACTTTCATGTAAACAGCAGGTTTTTTTAAGAACTATCTCTATTCACTATGTTTTTACTTGGCAACAGGAGTACAAACAACTCTTGTCTCTTTAATTCACTTACTGCTGAGATGCCCAGCAAGCCCTATGACCACCTTCTTCCAGCTTCTACAAACGACTGTCTATTTGGGAGGATAATTCCAGCTTCTTGCTGCTGACCTGGGCTGGATTCAAGTTACTGAAAAAGGAAAAGCCTGGCAAGGGTCATGAAACTTTGAATGCATTTATTTTTAGGACACTCAAGCAGAGGGCAAGCAGAGATGAATAACACTTGGAATAACAGAAGATCACCACTCTTCAAACAAACAGTGACTATCTGACCTATAATTGAAGATAGCTCAAGGTATCTTATTTCTTGTGGGTATTATTGTACCTACATGTAGTCAGAGGGGTAAAAGAGTTCTGACGTCAGCACAACTCATATGATGATGAGCCAGAGCTCTTTCAGTTAAGAGCTGAGGTACATTTTGTCTGTGCAACTGGATGAGAACCATTGCAGTACATGTGACTGTTATTCTTCAGCTCTGTGATGTCTTTAATATTAACCATTGTCTTTATTTCTCCATGTGAGTTGTTCCCTGAAAAGGAATACAATATTAGAAATCTTGAAGTGTTGAGAAATTTTTGATATGAACGTGCTTTAATTACCTTGCCAAGCAGAATCAATTAGGAAATATCTGTTGTCTTGAAAATGGTTCAGATAAATTAAATAGAGTATTAGTATGTGTTTATCAAACAGTCCAGATCAGAATACTCTTGTTTTCAGAAATAGGGTGCAATATGGCTTAAACAGCAAGAAAAAAAAATTCCTTTTGATTAAAGAATACTGTGAAGGGAAGGTCAGCCTCTGATTTCTGTGTTCATTTTAGAAACACTCTGTGTGAATACAACAATAATGGAAACCTGAAGGATTTAAATCCTGTTTAGGGTGAGACAAATCCACAATTCTTAACAACCACACTGCTCAACCTGAGAGAGAACAAGATTTTATTGTCACTTTCAG